ACACTGCTAAATTAGGGACGGCTAGCGCAGATAGCTTTGCGCGAAATTCAAAAACAAACAAACAAATTGTTCCATTTATTTTGCAACAAAATAATAGTTTACTGATGAGTAAGTACGAAAAACAAAACGTGAAACGATGGTTGAAAATGTACGAAACCAATTGAAAAATACGAATAATTTATATAGAAGTATTTAGCTATTTCTTTATTTCAGTTACAGTCCATAAATCATGATTAGAAATAGCCAGAGGTTCTTTGTGGATATAAAATTCTCTGTCCAGTTTCACCCTCTTACGCCTGCTTTATAGAACCGAATATTTTAAAGTTGACTCATTCTCTAAATTAACCCACCAACAGGAGGCCAGAGTAGCTCAGTTTCGTATTTGGCCATGTAACCGAGCATTTAGACTTCAGGTACACTACAGGAAAGAGTTGGTCTCAGTCAAGTGGGTACGTAGAAGCCAAGAAGATGGGAAGAGACATGCGCAATCGCTATTCATTCTATTCTCGAATAAATTGTTATTTTGAATAATATCTATAATATAGAAACTATATTTTATAACAAAAAATTCTGGTACTTCTGCATATTTAAACGATTATAGAATGGATAAGTAGAAACACTTAGACATGAAAACGTTTTTCAACTATGACGTATAACCAAATTATGCACGATGTTTCACCATTTATTTTGTTGTTGTTTTTATTATTTCTCTTCAATTTACGATAAAACCAGCACGGATTTTTAAACAAAATTATAAAACAAACAATTCAAGTATATTCTGTAAAGTTTGAATTTCGCGCAAAGATACGTGATGGCTATCGGCGCTAACCGTCCCTAATTTAGCAGTGTAAGACTAGAGGGAAGGCAGCTAGTTATCACCTCTCACCTCCAACTCTCGAGCTACTCTTTTACCAACGAATATTGGGATTGACCGCCACATTATAACGCCCCCTCGGCTGTAAGGGCGAACATGGCTGGTGGGACAGAGATTCGAACCCGCGACCCTCAGATTGCGAGTCGAGCGCTCTAACCACCTGGCCATGCCGGGCCCGGTCTGTAAAGACTATTCTTTCATCGGTAACTTGTTAAAACTAAATGGTAAAAGGTGGATTAATTTTAGTATCCTAACGCAGATTAAAAAAATAAAACAAAGATTAATACTTTACAGGAAATATCTTAAAAATGAGACTTTCCGCAGTCTCAAAATACAATAAAACATTTACTCAGTAATTTACTTTATAAAGATAAAATTCTTGAAACTGGGAAGTTACACAAATGTCGTCATAACTTTAATAAACTTTATTATTGTTTAATGTATGTCACTTTGATATTGCAATATGAAACTAAGATAATTCTCTAAGTGTTCACTTCTGTGATCTAGCTTATTGAGTGCCGATTTTACAGTCATAGAGGTCTGTCTATTCAGTGGTTTGCTTGGAATATCTCGATTTCTGTCTAGTTACCATACATTAAGCGTCAGAATTTTCATAAGTCAGATCTATTACATTTTTATACAATTTTAAAAGTTCGGGTTTTATTACTAAAAGTCTTTGGGTTAAAGCGGAGTGTCAAAACAAAATACATACTACCCACAAAGTTTGTTGTTAAGTGCAAGGCTAGATAATATGTACCGTGTCCACCGCGGGTAATCGAATTCCTAAGATCCCAATCCTACCGCTGAACTAGCGGTTCACCTTCCCAAGTACGATCAGTTCTAACGATATCCGCCTGGTGGCGCTTATGTATGGTTACTGAATTTGATCACGTGTCACAGCGAGAGAGATACGCTTCAATTTGTTGTTTGTGATCGCCAGAGAAAGTAGTTGATTCCATATAAAGTTGTGTATAATCAAAGTGTTACCGTAGTGAGAACTCAAACAATTTAGTTAAAAAAACCGAAGTGGCTTCTATGCTACTCTCAACTAGCTGCCACGGTGGAGGACCCGCGCGGTTCAGATAATTCTATTTCTCTATCCGAATACTCGACATCACGATCCGAAAATGATAGCCGCAAGGAAAAGAAGCAGTTAAGAGCAGTATTCTTAATCCGTAATGGTGAAGTTTACAAATTTTTTATCAACGAGTCTGCCGCAAACGAAACACTGAGCCCTGCGCGTCCGACATTGTCGGTGACTGCACCGCCCGACGAACCCGCGGCAGGAGCAGTAGACAACCGACCTCATGATGCTATTCCTGAAAAGTCCGAACGCCGAGTTCAACTGCGGCCACCAATGTCTTTCTGTTCCGGATCAACGTCTCTTTCCGGCTCCGAAGATACCACTTCGTTGCCCCTCGTGGCTAGCAGACCTTTTGCTGTTCTCCTTCGGCTGAGGGTGACTCAGATAGTAGCCGGTATTGTGACTGTACTATTTGGTACCGTGGCTTGCTTGGATCCAACCACTAGGCCTACTCTGGGGTTCGGCATTCCTGCTGGGGCCCTTACAGTTCTGGCTGCAGCTCTTCACATGCAGGCTTCCCGCCGACAGTTTCATGCCGCTCTTGCTGGCAGTTCAACGCTATTTTTCGGATCAAGTGGCTCACGTCAAGCGCCACTTCTGCAGGTCCTTCGACCCTTATTGCCGACTCTAGCTTGCGTGTTAGCGTCACTCCTGTTGCTAGCACTAGCTTGCATGGCCTTAGGTGGGAACGACAAAAATCTTATAGCTTTGGGTATTCTCCACTCTATCAGTGCTCTTGTAGTACTCTGCACAGAGGCACTAGTATTGGCACTACGCTGGCACTGGACCGTTAAATCTCATTATTAATTGCATTTCCCAATATGATATCAAAGCATTAAATGTTTCACACGAAGACTTCCGACTCAAAAGTCAGTATAGGAGAAGTTTGTGAGAGTATTATAAGACTGGGACGGTTTGAAAATAATAACAATTTGATGTGGTTACCATTAAATTATGAACCAACCAACATTTTACTCTAATGACAAATTTATTAAATATTGAAGGGAATTAAGAATAGAAAGATTCGAAATAAGAAAACAAATGTATTAATTACATATAGCGAAATGTGTAACGAGAAGATGTATTCCATTTATGGATACTCATTCAGATGAAAAAAATCACTAGTATTTTTTTCCAGAAGATTTATCGGAAGATTTTATGTGTCAGAAAGAAATGCGGCTAAAAATTTCCAACACGACAATGTATAATAAGGAATGGCCATCACGATAGTAACAGAATGTGTATCGGAAAACATCTTTCTTCAAAAACAGCAGTGCATACTAGCGAATCAGATAAGTCAAAACATTACTTAGAAAAGTTAACTAATGAGATAGAAATAGTATACTATAAATGTTGTGAATGTTCAGTTACGATCAGATTGGTGACTTATAAACAAGAAGAGTGGTTGAAGACGTTTTTATAATGTTCACAACAAGTGGTGATCATTAGGACAGAATTACGGTTTATTATTAACTGATCACATTTAACCCAGTAAATAAGAGACGACAACTAATTTAGAACGTTCAGTGGTATCTGACATTCGATCTGAAGCTTCATGTAAGACGATTAAAAGAAAAATCTGATCTTAAAGAAATAAGCTTTTAAATGCTAACATGTGCTTCAGAACTCTTAGAGTAAAACTTTATATAAAACAGAAATGATCCAGTTAGAAAAGAGAACGAATAAGTTAGGTTTGGGAAATAGCTTTACTTAGGACGTTTCTGATATGAACTAGAAGTGATCAAAATGAGAGAACAAATAACGTTAGGTTTGAGAAATAACTTTACTTAGGACGTTTATGATATGAACCAGAAGTGATCAAAATGAGAGAACAAATAAACGTTAGGTTTGGGAAATAGCTTTACTTAGGACGTTTCTGATATGAACCAGAAGTGATCAAAATGAGAGAACGAATAAACGTTAGGTTTGGGAAATAGCTTTACTTAGGACGTTTCTGATATGAACCAGAAGTGATCAAATTAAGAAAACAGATAACAACAATGATTTCATGGGAACGACCTTTACTTAAAAAGTTTGATAGCGGACGTGAAGAGATATTTCGAACTGATGATATGGGTATAAACTGCTGTATTCTAGAGTCTGCTAAGCAATTACCACATTTATGTGTGTTTTTGAGTGAAGAAATGTTTTATTGTTGTTTACAATTATCCGTTTCAGGTATTTGTAACGTTACAATGTGTTGTTTTGACCTTATGTAAAGAACAGTCTTACGTCATCAATAATATAACTGATAGATTTCTATTGAATGTTGCCGTTTCTATAGTCTATGTTTTTTTTAACAATAGTAACTATTTACTACATGTTAAGAGAGCGTACAACCGTGCTGATCAGATTGCCTCGATTTCGGCTTTGTTAAATATTTAGTCGTGATTGGTTTTTCGTTTGAACAAGTTTTTCTTTATTAGTTTGTTAAAGAGATCAAACTTCATCTCTGGGGTAAACACTTAGTTCTAATATGTAAAGATCTTTAGAACATAAACTAAATAGTTAATCAGATATGTTAGACTGCCAAACAGGTTTAAATTACTAATTGTTTTTGTTATAGTACTATTAAATAAAGTCCAAAGTATCAATAGTATATTTGTTTTATATGTAAAAAAAATAAATACAGTTGTTTATTTGATGTCATACAATTAGAAAATAATGTTCGCATTTACACGATATTAATTTTTACGGAAACTGGATACAAGTTGTGAATTAAATACGTTCTGACACTAAGAAAGACTTTTAAATAGAAAAGGTGAGGTACTATTATAGTGAACCATCACAAGAACTTTTAAATTGAAAGGGTGAGGTACTATTATAGTGAACCATCACAAGAACTTTTAAATAGAAAAGGTGAGGTACTATTATAGTGAACCATCACAAGAAATTTTAAATTGAAAGGGTGAGGTACTATTATAGTGAACCATTACAAGAACTTTTAAATAGAAAGGGTGAGGTACTATTATAGTGAACCATCACAAGAACTTTTAAATAGAAAGGGCGAGGTACTATTATAGTGAACCATCACAAGAACTTTTAAATAGAAAAGGTGAGGTACTATTATAGTGAACCATCACAAGAATAAACTAATTCCGACAATATTATTTCAGATCGTGAGACCAGTTCAAATAGAAACTGCTAATTGTAAAACAGTAAATATTTAAAGAATGCTGGAGTATTTCAAGGCTTGTAGGTCGTTATTTTAATCCATATTTGGATTTAGTCTTGTTTTAACTTTTTACATACTTGTCTTTCTGGCAGCTATTTTTATCATCGTTTTCTATCGATGTAGTCGTACTTGGATTAGAGGATTAGATTTTAGCCTAAATAGGCCATAAATAGCTCACGAAAATGCATATCTCAAATATAACATTTGGCTAAGGTTGACACAGCGTCAGAAGGTGATCTTGAACTGATTTTTTCTTCGGCTAAAATAGGTCAGCTAAAACTGTTCTGAATGCTCATCTAATAAAAATTACTTTTATTTTTTATCTGCTTTTGTAAACCAATTATTCATATTAAGAATTTATAAGGCATTATAAAAATGTTTAGAAAGTACAATCTTTATGTCGATTTCAACTTAGGTTGTTTCTGAAAAAATCAATCATATAGACCGTACTCAGAAAGGGATATTTAATGTTTGAAACAAAGTTGTCGTTTACTGGATATAAATATCAAATATGTATGTATTTTATATGCGTGTGTTTGATATTGTGTTTTAGGGATCTCTGTAGACTATGTTTCATTGCCATTTATTGTTGCGAGTGCTCTGTTTTCATGTCTGCATGTAGCTCAAATCCTGGTGTTGTTCAGTAACATCTGTGATATTCTGTTTTCTAAAAATACGTTAAGAGGAAGTGGTTCATAATTTCTTAATACAGTCCTTACTTCATGATTGGACCTTTGTTTAAATCCAGTTGTGTTTTACAAAATGAAGTGAAAAACTGTAACTCGTAAAAAAGCTGCTATAACAATGATATGGTTGAATAAAGTAACTTGTAAAGCCAACTGCTTCATGTTTTCTTTCAAAAAAGACGCCACAAAGTATTTTTACTTTTTTTCAGGTTTAAAGAAGCCAGTATCACTTTACTCTTTTGACCGAAAAATTATTGTTTCAGAGAATGTTCATATAAATTTATTGTCATCAAGTTGCCAAACAAGGTACGTTTGTTACATTTCTCAAAATATACAAACATACTCTCAAAAGCGTGGTAGATAGATAAATTGGACGTGAAATAAAAGATAAATTATTTCTGTTCCCCTTTTATATCTAAGCACATCTCTGTGGCTTGTTACCTTTTCTAACTAGGAACATTTATCCCGAAACAAAGTTTTAACGTACATTAACTCGTCCCTAAATGCAGGCGGGTTTAAGAGATTATTGTGTCGAAATGAGGGGCTATACTCATCCGATATATATATATTTATTTAATGAAGAGGCTCTTGTTGTAGTTAATAAATCACAATATTGAGAAATAGAAATTCATCATAAATAATGGCCGAGTGTTAGCCTGTAAATCCGAGGATTCATAGTTCGTGTCGCATTGGCGCTTAAACATGCTCCGCACTTTGAATGAAGGGGTGTGCTGTGAAAGTCACGTTCAAATCACACTATTGAATCAGATAAGAGTGGCCTGGCGGTTGATGATAATTAATAACTGCATTTTTTAGCCTACCAGTTCAAAATAGGAACAGCTATGTGCAGCTTTGCGCGAAATTCTAAACAACCAGCATAAGAAGAAGAAGAAAAAAGTTGCGATGTATGAGAAGGGCAATAGAGTTCGTAAAGCATGAAGAAATATACCAGCTACGATAAAAGTATTTACATTGGGCACGTGCCAAATTCCAGTCCTAAATTTATAGCTATGGAAAAATACGTTACAGAAACAACAACAAAAAAATCCGAAAAGTATCCATGCATTATAATAACCTCAGAAAACTTACGGAGTTGCTCAATAAGTTTCAGAGGTATTCATTTTCAGTTAATAATAATCAAAAGAGAAAATCAAACTACTAATGTCTGTTCACACACACACTGCATTAGCAATGTTATGATGAGGAAAGAATCTCTGTCGAAAAGTGTTGTCCGTGTGAAATAATCAGGAACATGAACATTAAGAAGTTACTGCAAATCCATATAATTAAAATTACTTGTGTGCGTGCGTGCGTAAAAACCTTTTTATACTTCATTAAACTATGCAAAAATGAAATTAGGAGTAGGTAAGTACGGACGACGTCACAATATGCGTAAGGGAGGGATGAGTGTCGATAGTATTATGCATTGCAGAGATGAAGGTATTTGGGAAGTGAATCTGTTATCCTTCAAAACCCCGCCTCAGACAACAGGATTTATGCGCTAAGTTTAAATATCTTCATTTGTTTATAGACGCTTAAAATACCGGTGCCGTCATCCTGTTGAGTTTTAATGTTAACTACCGATACTCAGGTTTTCAAAGGTCTGGAATCTTACTATATGATCGATCGGTTTGCCATCTTTCATCACACCATTTGGCTCAAAATGTCTTTTGTACCAGAGGTGTTTGGTGAGTGTCACGTGTTGTGGAATAGGTTTAACCTCGCAGTCATTGAGACACCCCGCACGGCTATTATATTCCTTACGAACTCGACATACCTAACCTCACATGTGAGTAGTCTATATTGGTCACTCAACTGTTCTAATTACTTTAAATACACTTTAATGCCTCTGCGTTTTATGAACTTTGTATATTCAAATACAAAATACTATAACCAAAAATGTTTCCCTCTTGTAATATATTGAAAAGTCTGTTACGCAGCACCACCTGTAAGTTAGTTGGATATTATTTCCTTATCGGGAGCTCCATTGCAAGTTAATCGCATTTTACAAGAATATTTACATATGCTAATACAGTGTGGGGATCATCACGGCTACGAACCATGGTGTCGCAGGACGTGTTCAGTACGTAAACATTTGGTTCACAGCGATTTCCTGACCATTCGACAATGCAATACCCACACAACTGATTATGGTAATGTCACAACTCTTTCCAAGGCAGGGTATTCGAAAAGGAAAACAACAAGAAAATGCCAACGTTCAAGACACTCCAGTCTTATATACGCCTGTGGGTTAAAAGGTCAGTATGTATGAGTGTAAAACTACCTAAATAACATTCCAACACAAGTAGTACTGTTACTCCATTACCAGAATTCGCAGGTGATCCAGAAAACCTCCATCTAGAAGGTGATTGCTTATAAGTAGCAGAGATTCCGGTCATAACGTAATTCACGTGTATCTTGAGTATGTAAAGAAGCACGAGTCATGGATGTCCACGTTACTATCTCGAAAAAACTACAGAAAACTGTACAAAACTTCTTTGCGCACGAGAAATAGGAGTATGCTACAACACTGGGCGAGGTTGGGTACACTTAATGAAAGTTTGTTACTGACCATGAGGTGATAAGGGCGTTCAAGTATGGTACAGAGAATAAAAAAAAAAGCATTTCGTCGGGCATTATGGTTGCCGCAGATTCCTTAGATAATGGTAAAAACTTCACAAAGTGCAAAGTAAAGCAAAGGAAAACTCTACTATCAGTAGGACGTGTTGACACAAATTATTCAACATATGGCTATCGTTAAGTTACACGTTCTAAATTTACAGCAGTGTTTATCTACAAAACAAAAACTGGTGATCTTGCTATCCCTTTCACTGACATTCCTTTGAAGCTACTTGATTGCACACATATGGACTTCTGTGCATTCAGTCTTGGAAGCCAGTGCCCATGAACAATGGAAAGTTTGATAAGGTGTACGTGGGTGGCCTAAGATTGTTACAATGGAAATTGTGATGTCAGTGTGTAACCATGACCACCAGAATGATCAAGATCGACTATGGAGGAATTATTTGCAAGTGTATCACGAGACCTGGATCATCGTTTTTATAAAGTATGATTTATCTCAGTATAATGGACGAATAAAAACATTTCATTAATTGAGTATAAAATTAATCAACAGCCAGATGATTGTGAAATATTATCAACTTGCTGATACAAAAAGAATAATATAAAATGAGGTTTGAAATAAGTTTTATAGCCTAATGAGCTATAATCGTGAACGAAAATGCCTTAATGACAGCAGCGACACTAAAGAGTTATTAGTTGAAATGTTATTGTATGCTAATCGTATGGAAATCTGTATAGAGCTAGGTAGGAGTAACGTAAGAGAAATTAATGCGTTCACGTATACCCAACATCTTATTAACCCAATATGACTAAAATGTTCCTTAATGGCAGACTGTGGTGTTTCCATGTTCCCACTATGCCTAAGAACTCTCTGTCTTGGCAGATTGTTGTTTTTTATGTTTGTTTGTTTGTTTTGTAATTCAGCACAAAGCTACACAATGGGCTATCTGTGCTCTGCCCACTACGGGTATCGAAACCCGGATTCTAGTGTTGTAAGTTCGCAGACATACCGCTGTGCCACTGAGGTGTATGTGTCAAACATTTCTACTCGACAGCGTTATAACGAAACGTTGGATAAATAAAACTGTCTGTGTTTCATGGAAATATTCTGTTGATTAGCATATTACCTATAAGTCAATATTTATTAAAAGACTTGTAATATAAATACATGTTTTTTAATAAAGTGTTATGTATTTTTGTTAACATATATGTCTTGGTGTTTTATTTTTTGTGTGATAGCTATGTAGTTATTGATGAAATTATGAATACATTCTTCTTTTTTATCATTTTGCAGCATTCCTTAACTAGTTATCGTAAGTTTCAACATTCTGCGACATTTCTCAACTAGTTATCATAAGTTTCAACATCATGTAGCGTTCTTCCAATAGTTATTTTAAGGGTAAGCATTCTGCAGTATTCCCCAACTAGTTATCTTAACGTCAACATTCTGAAGCGTTCCTCAACTAGTTATTTCTGATAAAAGAAACAGTTTCTAACAAGTTATTTTCTGTCACGAGAAAAATTTGAAGATTAATATGATAGATGTTACGATTTTTTCAGTCCCGTGAATATATACTGTTTGTGTTGTTTTATCTAAAAACGACAAAACGAAAGTGTCTTGCTCTTCGACAGGCTATGTCGTTACGTTAGGTGATTAGATCACATTAGGTTAGATTAGGTAGCCAGATTAGGTTTGGCCAGGTGGTCAGATTAGATTAAGTTAGGTTAGGCTTGGCGGTTAAATTATGTTAGGCTAAGTAAGAAGACTATGCTAGACTAGATAGTTTGGTTAGGTTATGCTATGTGGTTAAGTTAGGTTATGTTAGGCTAGGCTAGGTGGTCAGGTTAGGTTAGATAGTTACGTTAGGTTATCTGGTTAGATCAAGTTAGGCTATGTGGTCGAGTTAGGTAAGGCTAGTTGGTTTGTAATATACATTGTCAACCACGGCCATGATGTCAGATTCATGACGCTCTAAAAATGTTGTACTGCTGTCATGAAAAGTTTTATGACAGATAGTAAGAAATGATCCAGAAAATATAAAACTTTACCTCTGGTTCTATAGCTGTATGTCAACTCTCGTGATCATGATCGTTAGCTTATGGTATTCTTATTCTAAGAAACTCTATAAATCTGCAGATTAATTTTAAGCTAAATCTAGGGAGGGACGTTTACTGGTAAATGTTTTCACAGATACTCCAAGTGTGGTTCTAGGGAGGGACGTTTACTGGTAAATGTTTTCACAGATACTCCAAGTGTGGTTCTAGGGAGGGACGTTTACTGGTAAATGTTTTCACAGATACTCCAAGTGTGGTTCTAGGGAGGGACGTTTACTGGTAAATGTTTTCAGAGATACTCCAAGTGTGGTTTTTCCAAGTGGTGATATACTTCTAACGAATTAATTCATATGTTGTTATTGTCACGAGATAAAAAAATACAGTTCCCTGATCTCGTGGGTTTTACCCCATTGTTTATGAAGATCGAGCAACTTGTTTATGTCGCAGAAGTTACAAAACGTTCAATCTGGCTGTTTTGTTTACTTTCTTTTCACACATTGCCTTTCATAGTA